GTAGTAGTAATAGTGGTGGTAGTAATAGTAGTAGTGGTTGTGGTGGTAACAGTAGTAATAGTAGTGGTGGTGATACTGGTAGTAGTAGTGGCAGTAGTGGTAATGGTAGTAGCAGTAATATCAGACACCTCAAAATTTACAAAGATCTTCACACGGGAACATAGTAGGACCACAGTTCTAGACTGGAAGGGGCCTCAGCAGTCATCTAGTGCAGCCCCTTTGTTTTACAGATGGGTAAACTGAGGGAGATGACTTGCCCAAGGTCAGTCAATCCATCAATCAACAGGTATTTCATAAGCCCCAGCAATGTGCCAGGCATCGTTCTAGGCCCTCGGGATACAGAGTACAAAGAATGAAGAGACCTCTTTTTGCTAGGAGTTTCCATTCTAATGGGGGAGACAAGTCCATATTCAGTTCCCACTCAGCATAAATGTAAAGAGAACAAATACAAACTAGTTGAATACAGGGTAGTTTGAGAGGGAGGGCACCAGGAAAGGCTTATTGTAGAAGATGGGGCTGTAGCTTCCTCTTAAAGGAAGAGAGGGCTTAGATGAGGCGGAGGTAAGGAGGAGGGAGTCCCACATCTCCATCATCTCCTTTATCTTCACAACAATCCTTTTATTTTCTGCTTTGTATTCCCAGGACCTGGCACGTACTCAGTGCTTAATAAATGTGTGTGGGTAGTTCTAAATTTGCACATCTTAAATGTCTTCATTATTAATATTAATAAATCACTTATTAATACTTAAGATTATTTATTACTATCAAAATGTCAATATTTCTTTATTATTAATTGTAGGACCATGGGCAAGTTCCTTTCCCTCCCTGAGCCTCAGTTTCCTCCTTGGTAAAAGGACTGGTTTGGACTAAATGATCTCTGATTCCTTAGAGTCTCTGCCTTATTGAGGTAGGGTTGGTAGGGTGGGAACCTTCGTTCTAATCCCAGCTCTACGGCTGGATGATTTAAGAGGCAAGCTTTGGGGAAAAGGCACCCTCAGAGGGTGTTGGTCTTAGAGAAGAAAAGGCTGGAAGAAACCTCACTGTGTGACTGTATTACATTCAACTGGTGGAGACCTGTCGTCTAAGAGAAAAGACAGAAATGAGCTAAGCTTGGGGAAACAAACAAAAAAACAAAAATGACCCAGAAGTAGGGAGCTACGATAGAGTGAACTTTGTCATCTGTATAAGAATAACAGCAGCAGAAATGACAATGAGGATGGTGATAATTCTGGGCTCCTTTCCAGCTCCAAATTCTGTCATCCTGATTGGACAGGCAATGTGACATAAGGGATAGAGCAGTAGACCTGGAGTCAGTAAGATCTGGGTTCAAATTCCGCCTCCAATTAGCTGTGTGACCACTGGCCAATCATTTCATCTCTCTGAGTCTTGGTTTTGTCATCTGTAAAATGGGTGACAGGATGCCTGTAGTGTGGACTTAGTTCAAGGGCTGTTGTGAAACTTAAATAAGATCTTTATAAACTTTAAAGCCCCATATGAATGCTAGTAAATGCTAATGAAAGCTCGATATGCATGCTACAATAGCTATCCTTTTTTAAATTTATTTTTTTAGCTTAAAAAAAACAATTTTCTCTCCTTTTCATTTCCCTCTGGCTCCCATTAGAAAAAAAGAAAAAGAAAACCCTTGTAACACATACGTACAGGTAAACAAAACAAATTCTTGCATAGGACACATCCAAAAATATTATCACACGAGTGATGACTCCCCCCCAGAACCAGCCAGAAAACATTTACAATGCTGTGTGAGCCCAGACAAGGTACACAACCTCTCTGTGCCGGGGGGGGGGGGGACTCTTCTGAAATCCTAAGTTGCAGTGGTGGAGGAAGCTTCCTCCTCTGGGACATTCCTCTATAAATGGAAATCACAGATTCAGTCCCATCACATCCCTCTATGTTCTAACAAGTCAGGGACAGGTGTGATCTATTTTTAAAAATGATTTTCAGCTAAAATGGTTAAATTAAACAAGAAAAAAGTTCATTAAAAAGGTTAGTTGCAATTAATTAGAAACTCCCCTTGTGGGAACATCACTTGGTTCTCACAGCACTCCTGGTAGGAAGGTATTAAAGGGGCCATGGTACCCATTTCACAGATGAGAAAGTTGAGGCTCATTCCCTGAGAATGGATTTTCCTGAAAAGTTACAAGTGCCATCTTACTCAGACTCTTCTCCCCGTCTCTCCTTCAGGCTTTCCAGTAACATCTCTTCCAGGTTCTCCAGCTCCTCTGGGGCTATTTTCAGCAGCCACGTGACATGGCACACAAGTACCCTGGCTCGAGCATCATAGGAGCCTTCAGGTGGAACAAAAACATGGGGGATTAAGAAGGTGCTTTTATTGGATTCCTGTCAAGAATCAAAACAGCTCCTAGTTCTAGAGCACTTCAAGGGATAAAGTACAAAACTCTTCCTCACCATGACCCTGCATGGTAGAGAGTGTGGGGGATTTTGTCATCCCCATTTTACAGATGGGAACACTGAGGCTCAAGGAGGTGAGGAGACTCACCTAGGATCACACTAGAAAAGGTCAAAGCCAGGAATCAAACCCAGGGCCTCTGATTCCCAGTCCTGTGGTCCTTCTACTGTGCTACACACTACCAGACCATGAATATTAATAATGGCCCAAATTTCATGGTGCCTTTTAAGATTTACACGGCGTTTCCCTTCTGGAAATAAGTCCTCCAAGGTTATCGTGTACCTCCTCTGCATGGCTCTATCCAGGCAGCAAGGAAAGGATCTAGTGTGCTAGGTCAGAGTTGGAAAGACCCAAATTCAAATCCTGCCTTTAGATACTTACTAGCTGTGATCTAGGACAAGTCATTTAACTGCTGCCTGCCTCAGTTTCCTCATCTGTAGAATGGGATACCAATAGCACCTACCTCCCAAGGTTGTTGTGAGCTTGTTAAATGAGTGCATAGAACACTTTGCATACCTTAAAGTGTTATATGAAGGTGGCTACTATAAACCTCTTTGTAATATCCATTTACATGGGTATCTCCTATTAGAAAGTAAACTCCTATAGGGTAGGAACTTCTAGTTTTTCCTTCGTATCCCCAGAGATTAACATTGTGCTGGACACGTAAACAATGTTAAGGTATGTATTTGTTGATTAATGAGTTGATAAATATTATCAGGGGCGGCTAGGTGGCACCATAGGGCAGAGAGTGCCAGGCCTGGAGTCAGGAGATCCTGAGCTCAAATCTGCCCTCAGACACTTACTAGCTGTGTGACCCTGGGCAAGTCACTTCACCCTGTCTGCCTCGGTTTCCTCATCTGTAAAATGAGCTACAGAAGGCAATGGCAAATACTTCAGGATCTCTGCCAAGAAAACCTCAAATGAGGTCACAGAGAGTCAGACATGACTGAAATGAATCAACAAGGACGACAAATATTATCATTATCATTTCACAGATGAGAAAACAGGGTCCCCAAAAGATCACAGCATTATAGACCTCGAGCTGGAAGCATCCTCAGAGTCCAATCTCTATCATTTACAGATGAGGAAACTGAGGCCCAAGGAGGTGAAGTGATTTGCCCAGAGCTGCCCAGGTAGTAAGCGTCAAAAGTGAGATTTGAACCCAGTTCCTCTGATTACAGAGTCAGGTGATTTTTCCACTGACTAGTCCAAGGTCACAAAGCTAGCATGTGGCACAGCCAGAATTCAGCCCGGATCGCTTAACTTCAAGTGCAGATCCCCCGCCGCTACTCAAGAAACCCCCCTCCCCCTCTGTCCACTCATCCTGTCTGGCTGGTGGTTGGAGGGGCCAAGCTCTTTGAGGACAGGAACTGTTTTTTTTTTTTCCTTTCATTGTATCCCCATCACCAAACACAGAGCCTGATATGTAGTAGGTGCTTACTAAGTGCCAGTGGGCTTAGATTCTTAGAATTTAGCCAATGGCTCACTAATGTTCAGACTCTGCAGTATGATGGATGTTCCAATAAACCTTGTCTTTGGCTGAAAAAATAAAATAAGTGCTAGTGGACTGACTGACTCAGAGATGGGGGTCTGTGCCACCTGGTTATGGCATGAGAGCCCAGCCCTGTGGGTGGATAGGATAAAGAGTAAGGGGTGACTCAGACAGGGAAGACATTGGCCAAGGCATATCTGAATGGCAGCCTATGGCACAGGAATAGCCGGGGTAGCTGGGAGGGTCCTAAGAAACCTTAACTCCAAGAGAACAAGGACCTTAAGGAACTGGGCAGAGGGCCCATGATCTACGCTCAATCCCATTGGAAGTTACATTACTAGTTAATATTTCTTGTTCAAAGAACCCACATTTTTATAGGACCTAGAGATACACAAAATGTTTTCCTCACCCGGTTGGGCAGCATAAATATTCTTATTCCCATTTATAGGGGGAGACTGTGAGCCATAGCACTCTGGTGGAATAAGAGGAGAAATGGAGTTGTCCATCCCAAAGCTGGATGAAGAAGGTCAGTGAGGGTTCCTGTCTCTTCTCCAATAGCCCTGCCCGGATGAGTGAGGGCCAGGAGGAAAGCCTGATTAAGGCAGAGAGGGCAGAAAAGGATGAAGACGCCCAAAGAGGCTGGGAGACTTGGGCCTCCTCCCTGCCTGGCACACCCTTCTCACGCCTCCCCAGACCTGTATTAACCAGCCGAGTGGCTACGTGCTGAGGGTCAGACCACCTCTCCCTGCCAGTTACTAGGTCAACCATGGCTCCTTTCGAGTAAATAGCTGGTATCAGAAGCAGGAGATAATCAGCACTAATGAGATTCAAACAACCTTCAGCAGCTGTCATTAGTCAATGAGAATTATCAATAGCCATTAATGCAAGTGTCATTGATCAAGGTTATGGTGAGTAAGCTGGATGGAATATTGGCCAAGTGCACACCATTGATTAAGATTTTCCAAAAGCCTCTTTTGAAGATGAGGAAACAGAGGCCCAGAGAGATCCAATGACCTGCCCGAGGTCATACTGCTGGTCTCAAGTTCAAACCACATGAGGATCTGGATTCAGAGGGCCTGGGTTCCAATCCCACTTGCCACCTGTGTGACCTTAGGCAGTCTATGTGACCTCCATTTTCTCAACTGTAAAATGGACCAGATGGGCCCTGAGGAACCTTTCAGCTCCGGATCAATGATCCTATAATCACCTGAAGAACTGAGAAGGGTTAGCATAGAAAAGAGAACCCTCACCTGGGGACTGTTTCATGGCTGTTTTTGTATTCCTTTCACTGAGCTCAGCACCTGGCCCAGAGGAGGTGCTTAATAAATGTTTACTGATCGACATGTTGGCTGATATGTTGGCTTGTATTCAAGTAAAGAGCATTACATGTGGAAGAGGAAATATGGCATGGTCTACAGGGAATTCTGGTTGGGTAGGAGTAGGAGCAGGGGTGGGGAACCTGTGGCCTTCTAGCCCCTTGGGTGTGGCCTTTTGACTGAGTCCAAGTTTTACAGAACAAATCCTTTTATTAAGGGGATTTGTTTTGTGAAGTCTGGATTCATTCACAGAGCTGCACTTGAGGACCTAGAGGGTCACATGTGGCCTCAAGGCTGAAGGTTCCTCACCCCTGGGTTGGACTAATTGGCCTGTCATCTCTCCTCACTCTGAAATGTTAATTCTAAAGATACTAGAGATAATTGAGATTAATCTGTTAACCTGGAGTCTGCGAACTTGTTTTTAAAATATTTTGAAAATTTTTATTAATTTATTTAGTTTAATTTTATAAATTTTTTAAAAAATTGTTAAATATTTTGAGAACTGTATTTCAATAGAATTGGTTTCCATTCTAATCCTATAGGCTTTATTTTAAACATTTAACATTATTCCAAGAAGGGGTCACAGAACTGTCAAAAGGATCCAGGACACAAAAAGGGTTAAGGGCTGCTACAGGAAAGCTTCTTGGAATTCCAACCAAGCCAGAGTCCACTTGGAGATCTAGGTTAAATGAGCCTGTGCAATTAAAGACTTAAGGAGGCATTGTGATGGGGCGGGAAGAGCATGAGCCCAGATAGGTCATTTTAGCTTTATGGACTTCAGTTTCCTTATCTGTTAAATGGGGATTATAATGTTAGTACTGCCTAACTTTATAAACTGGCCCCAGAAATAGGAGCAGTTATTAAGTAAGAGCTGGGTTACCAAGGGCATCTGAAAGGAGCAAACTTCCTTACAGACACGGGATGACACAGGCTTCTCCAACTCTACTATCAGAACTCTGGCTTCCCTTGTGGCTGCTAAGCACGCACTTTGGGCCATAGTACAGGCCACAGGGCCCTCTTCTTTTGTTACCTTGATTTTATTTTTCACGTATTTATTTATTTTTAATCAAAGTCTGCTCTCTCTTCTTATTTCCTTCTCTCCTCTAACCCCATTGCGAAAGCTACAACATAGTTGAGCAAAACAACATTGCATTGGCCTGTTAAAAATTCCTGCACTGGCCATGTTAAAAAAAAAAAAGTCAGTCTCCCTCTGCCCCTTGAATCCATCAGTAGGCGGGTAACATCAATATGAGTCCTCCAGAATTACAGCTGGTTATTGTGTTGATCAGAGTTCTTAAGTCTTCCAAAGTTATTTGTCTTAAAAATATTGTTGTTATTGTATAAATTGTTCTGTTCACTTCACTCTGCGACAGTTCATACAGATCTCTCCAGGTTTCTCTCCTTCCTCATTCCTTACAGCACAATAGTATTCCATCACATTCATATATCACAACTTATTCAGCCATTCCCCAATTGATGGGCATCCCCTCAATTTCCAGTTCTTTGCCACCACAAAAAGAGCTGCTATAAATATTTTTATACTATTGGGTCCTTTTCCTCTTTTTAAAAATCTCTTTGGACCTAGTCATGTATTTCTGGGTCAAAGGATATGCATAATTTAATGGCTTTGGGGATGCAAAATGCTTTCCAGAATGGTCGGACCATTTCCCACTTCTGCCCACAGGGCATTAATATGCTTGTTTTTCCATGGCTTCTCCAGTATTCGTCATTTTCTTTTTCTGCCAATTTTGTCAATCTGAGGAGTGTGAGGGAGAATTTCAGAGTTGTTTTCATTTGATTTTCCCTAATTATTAGTGATTTAGAGCATCTTTTTATTTTCTGGAAAACTGCCTGTTCATATCCTTTGACCATTTATACATTGATTATTTTTATTTATTTATTTTATTTTTAGGCAATTGGGGTTAAGTGACTTGCCCAGGGTCACACAGCTAGTAAATGTCAAGTGTTTGGTCTGAGGCCGGATTTGAACTCAGGTTGTCCTGACTCCAGGGCCAGTGCTCTATGCACTGCGCCATCTAGCTGCCCCTCCTTTGAGCATTTATCAAATGGGGAATGGCATTGTGTCTAAGAGATAAGTCATGCTCATCACAAGCCACACTCTCGTGACAGCCCTTCTGTTCTCCACACTCACCCAGGCCCCAGGGAAATCCACTTCCCCTCAGCAGCCTAGTTTAATGTTTAATTGCCCTTCAGCAGGGATTAGAAGAGCAAAGATGCCCCATAACCCATGGGGCTGAAAGTTAAGTCCAAGGCTAGAAGGGCAGAGACTTGTCAGGGAATATTTTCAAGCAACTTAGACCTTGAACTTTCAAAGTTATTTAAAGAATGAAAGTGAATTCATGAAAGATTGAAGCCTTCAAAGTCACAGAGATGCAAGGGACCTTAAGAGATAGTCTGGTCCTTGTTCTGGGGAGGATTTCCAAAAGAACTAGAAAGAAAGAATGCTTACCACCTGGGTAAGGGTAAAGAGTTTAGAGGGCCCTTAGAACAGAGAATGTCAGAACTGGGAGGGCCCTTAGAACATAGATGTCAGAGCTGTGAAGGGCCCTTAGAATCCAGAATATCAGAGCTGAGGTGGGGGGTCCTTAGAACACAGGATGTCAGAGCTGGGAGGGACCTTAGAACATAGATGTCAGAGCTGGGAGGGATCTCAGAACACAGAATATCAGAGCTAGGAAGGGCCCTCAGAACATAGATGTCAGAGCTGGGATGGGCCTTAGAGCACCAGATGTCAGAAGTGGGAGGGCCCTTAGAACACAGGATGTCAGAGCTGGGAGGGACCTTAGAACATAGATGTCAGAGCTGGGAGGGATCTTAGGACACAGAATATCAGAGCTAGGAAGGGCCTTCAGAACACAGAATGTCAGAGCTGGGAGGGGCCTTAGAGCACCAGATGTCGGAAGTGGGAGGGCCCTTAGAACACAGGATGTCAGAGCTGGGAGGGACATAGAATGTTAGGAGCTAGCGAGGATAACATGGTGCAGCGGTAACAGCACTGGATTTGGATTCATAGGACCATGGGTTCCTAACTGCTTACTACCTGGGTGACCCTGGGCAGTCGTTCAACCTCTGTGGCCCTCAGTTTCCTCACGTATACAAACAGAATCTACAGAAGGGACTTTTGATCCTCTGGGGCTGTGTATGAAGATGACCTCTGAGGCATCTCTGATTCAACAAGCATTTATTAAGTGCTTATGGTATACATTTACCCCTTCCTAAGTGCTAGGGATATAAAGACCACAGTTCCTACCTTCAAGGAGCTTACTACTCACAGCTTCAGACCCTGTGACCTTGGAACACAGGATGCTAGAGAGAGAAGAGACACCAGGGCTTTCTGGTCCAACATCATTTCCTAGTGGGAAGCAGACTCTGAGAGGGAAAGCCTTGTGCCCAAGTCACACATAGGATTTGTGACTAAGCCAGGAAGAGAATTGAGTTCTCCTGATTCTCAGGCCTGTGTTCTTTCTACTATTCTACATTGCCCCTTGGAGATCACAGAATTACATAATCTAGGAGTTGGACAGAACCCTAGAAGCCAATACCTGAGTTCAACCAATATCTGAATAATAATCCCTTCTAATAATAGATAAAAATCATAATATTTTATAGTAAACAAAATACTTTGCATATACTATGATCTCATTTGATCCTCACAATAATCCTATGAGGTACATTTTACAGATGAGGAAACTGAGGCAAACAGGGTTAAGTGACTTGTCCAGGGTCACACTTTATATCACTCACATTTTCTAGTGTAACCCTTCCCCTAAATTTCATTTCTTTTTCAAAGTAGAAATGTGTAGTAAATGGCAAAATAAGACAAAGAAGTAATAGATTCCTTCCCCCTGTCCAATACGTACGAATACACACACTCTCAATGCCACTATAGAAAAATATGCACGAATACAGACATATGTATATACATATGTGCACATGTATGTATATACAGACATACATGTGCACTAATACTCAAGGAGATATACACATACATATGCAAAAATACGTATACCATCAGTGCACACAGAGAAGAAATGTGTGGAGGGGCAAACGTGTAGGGAACAAGGAGGCAGCTAAGTATCATGGAGGATGGACGGCTGGTCCTGGAGTCTGGAAAGACCTGAGTTCAAAACCGGCCTCAGACACTAGCTGTGTGACCCTGGGCAAGTCACTTAACCTCTAGAGGCCTGCCTCAGTTTCCCCAACTGTAAAATGGGAATAATAACGGCACCTATCTCCTGGGTCTGTTGTGAGGATCAAATGAGATAATATGTGTAAAGTGCCTGGCACAAAGTAGGTACTTAAAAATAAACGCTTATTCCTTCTCTTCCCTTTCCCTGCCTATCTCTTACTTAGGGGATTGGGCTCAGCAACATTTTTTAGTTAAAATTCCAGAGGCTTTTGTTAAATGTATCTTTTAGATAAGCAGATGCTTATCGCCCAGAGGGAAAACAAATCCCAGCTTTCCCCCTCCTCCTCCCTTTCACATAAGTTGCCCTTCCCTTCCCTCCCACAGGGACTTGTCTAGATGGCATTTCATCTCTGGCAGGAAGTTCTGGAACCCAGGTGCCAGACTCCTTGGGACCCAGAGCTGGGCTCTCCTAGCTAGTGAATGCTGTCCAAATTTATCCTCAGTGACAGCCAGAGGCCAAAACAGAATCGAAAGAAGTCCAGATTCTGCTCTGGGGAGCCATATGGGCTCCCCAAACACGGAAGGAATGTCTCACAAGGGAAGTTTCTGTGGTTTTGAGCTAACACTGGATACATACCGGCTGTTAGAAATTCAGCAAAGCTCCCTGGTCGTGGAGCTCACCCTCTCAATAAAGCAGGAAGTTTCTCCTGGCCAGTTCAACCCTCCTTCTTCCTGGTTATATTTCTAAAAGTGCCCCGGGTAAGTTTCATGGAACAGGTTCTGCAGGGTATTGTTTTCAATGGTGGAGGCCCACGGGTCAAAGAAAGGAGGAAGGGGGCCAAGGTTCATTGCTAGAGCTTTTAAAAAGCACAGCTATGAAAGCAGGATCCTGGGCCCCCTAGAAGGGGGATCAGGATGGTTTTAGGGCAGCCCAGGATTCTGCTGGCAGGCCTGCTACTACCTTCCTGGCCTGCAGCTTCCTCACCTATAAATGAGGGAGGCGAACAGGGACAAAAGTTCCTTCTAGACATGACATTCTATGCTCAAACAACATTTCCAGCTCTGCAGTCTAAGAGCTCTCCCAACTCTGTCATTCTATGTTCTAAGGACCCTTGCAGCTCTGTCAATCTGTGTTCTAAGGGTCCTCTCAGCTCCAACATTCTGGGTTCAAGGGGCCCTCCCAACTTTGACATTCTATGTTCTAAGGGCCCTTCCAGCTCTGTCATTCTCTATTCTAAGGGTCCTCCCAGCTGACATTCTGTGTTCTAAGACTCCTCTCAACTCTGACATTCTGTGTTCTAAGGACTTTCCCAGCTCTGTCATTCTGTATTCTGAGACCCCTCTCAACTCTGTCATTCTGTGTTCTAAGGGCCCTCCCAGCTCTGACAGTCTGTCTTCTAAAGACCATTCCAGCTCTGATATTCTGTTCTAAATACACTACCAGCTTTGACATTTTGTGTTCTAAGGCCCCTCCCAACTCTGACATTCTATGTTCTAAGAATCCTCCCAGTTCTGACATTCTATGTTCAAAAAATGTTTCCAGCTCCAACATTCCTTGTTCCAAGGGCTCTCCCAGTTCTGTCATTCTATGTTCTAAGGGCCTTCCCATCTCTGACATTCTGTGTTCTAAGGCCTTCCCACCTCTGACATTCTGTGTTCTAAGGCCTTCCCACCTCTGACATTCTGTGCTCTAAGGTCCCTCCCAACTCTGACATTCTGTATTCTAAAGACCATTCCAGCTCTGATATTCTGTTCTAAATACTTCACTAGTTTTTGACATTCTGTGTTCTTGATAGCCTATGTTCTAAAGTCCCTTCTAGTTCTGAGGTCCCTGTAACATTCTATATTTTAATCAGATTCTTTCCAACTAGGATATCCTATGTTCCAAGGCCTCTTCCAGCTCTGACTTTCTGTATTCTAAGGTCCCTTTCAGCTGTGGCATTCTGTGATCCTTCTTGCCACTGATCTGAGTCAATGATTACCTTACCAAAATGTGTTTCCTAACCTGCAGTTAGCCATCTCAGGCTACTGAATCCCTAACTCCTCATTATCACGGGGTCATCAGATTAAACTGGAACACTTCACAGATGTTATCAGATTTTATACCGATATTATCTAGATATGAGAGAATGATTACTCGCACTTGGAGACACACATAGGACACTTAGTTATTCTTGTAGATAAAGCTTCTGGGTCGGAAGTTCATTTAACACGTCCCACTTCCTCTTTGTGATGCCCGCATTCACGTGCTGGGAGAACACGCAGCTATATGGAGGGCCAGGGCCGGGGTCAATCTAAGAGGGACCCTTGTCTATAATAGAGGCTGCTGTAATAGAGCTGTTGTAGAGCTGACCCCTTGGAGTCGGGAGATCTGAGTGCCAATCATGGTCTGGACACTAACTCTATCTTAGTTAGGGGATTCCTAACTAAGGGATTCCCTCAGGATTTTTCTTTTTGTTTTATTTTGTATCACCAATGGCTACCACGGTAGCTGGCATATAGGCTCACCGATCCAGCACGAGAAGGGGCCTTAGCAACCATAACCTCCAACCTGTTAATTTTATAGATGAGGAAACTGGGGGCTCCCTTGCACATAAGGAAGTCTGTCTCACTATTAAAGACTGGAAGTTATGAGTAAGCCCAAACTTCTAATGCTAAATCTACGATTTTATGAGTATTGGCCCTAGAATTAAGAGGGTGCCCCCCGTCCCATTTTATAAAAAAAAGACTTAGGAAATCAAACTTACCATTCCTGAGGGAGAAGGTCAGAAGATCCTAGGAAACAAAAGGAAATTAGGGATGTATGTATAGAATCAATGATTAAAATCCTGTTATCATTCAAGCTGTTAGTTGGAGGGGACTTTAGAACACAGACCGCTAGCCGTTGAAGGAACTTTAGAGGTCACCTAGTCCAAACCTTTCATTTAACAGATGGGGAAACTGAGGCACAGAGAAGGGAAGGGTTTGTCCAAGTTCACTGCCATCTCTTTGGGCAAACATCGCCTCTTACCCTTGTTTACATTGCCCCAACGTCTTTGAGTGCTTGCCCATTTCACAGACAAGGAGAAAGCTCAAAGAGTTTGGATAACTTACTCAGAGGTATTCAATATACTGCCAAAGATCCATGTTCCTCAAGTGTAGCCCAGTCATTTCCCTTCAGGAGTGAATACAGGAAAAAAATGACAGACCGTAGAATATCAGCTGGGAGCAGCCTTAGACCACAGAACATCAGAGCAGGGAGGGCCCTTAGAGCACAGAATATCAGAGCAGGGAGGGCCCTTAGAACACAGAATGTCAGAGTTTGGAGGGTCCTTAGAACACAGAATGTCAGAGCTGGGAGGGCCTTTAGAACACAGGATGTCAGAGCTGAATGTACTAGAGGTACATTTTACAGATGCTGGAGTCTGCTGCACTCCTAGTCCTGCAAACTCATTTCCAGGCTGGCTGTAAAAAAAGATTTCATTTTCCGCTTCATTCATTCCTGTCCAGGGGGTCTGGGTACCTGTGTAATCACTAGTGGATCATTCTCCAAGACTGGATCCTTCAATAAAATTTCTGCAAATGTGGCCTCCTCTTCTCCTCCCAGGCCATCAGCAAAGGCCACCATGGAGGGGAGGACTGTTTCTGGTAACTCCAGCCATTTCACTAAGCTTTCCACAAATTCCATCCGAAAGGAGCTGAAAGACACAATTATTTCAGACACAGAGAGTTCTGCTTTCCTCTCTCCCAATTCTAGCTCCTGATTATCCAACACTGGGAAGAACTGAGATAAGTGAAATGCCCAGGTAATTTCAAAATCTCATTTTAGTAGAAACTTTACTAAATGGCTAATAAATCACAAATTTAATTATGACAATCCACCAACAATAATAATAGTTAACATTTATATAACTTTTTAGAGTTTGCAAAGTGCTTTATAAATAGAATCTCATTTGATCCTCACAATATCCCTGAGAAGCAGATGCTAATATTACTCTTATTTTACAGATGAGGAAACTGAATCAGACAGTGGTAAAGTGATTTGCTCAGGATCATACATCTGGGAAATGTCTGAGGCTGGATTTGAGCTCAGGTCTCCCTGACTCCAGGTCCACTGTGCCACCTAGATGCCCAAAGCACCAACTTTATGAGTCACAAGTGTTAAGTTTAAGTCCTGGCTCTGCCTTGAACTTACTGCGTGATCCTGGACTCATGCCTTCCCTATGCCTCAGTTTCCATATCTATAAAATTAATAACAATTCTCATTTTCCATAGAGCTTTAAAGTTTTAGAAAGTGTTTTCCTTATAACATCCCTGTGAGGTAGGTAGTGAAAAGATTCTTACTCTCATTCCACAGATGAGGAAACTGAGGCAGAGAGGTCATATAGAATCACAGAATCTAAGAGCTGTAAAAGACCTCAGAAGTAACCCAATCCAATTTACATTCAACCGAGAATGCTCTCTTTAACATCCCTGACATGTGGCCATCCAGAAACCACCCAAATATCTCCAGGGTGAACCCACTACCTCCTGAAACAACCCACTCCACTCCAGGACAGCTCCATCTGCCAGGAAATACCTTACATAGCATTGAACCCAAATTGGCCTCTGCTTCTCCCATCCACTGCTCCAAGGCCTCCCATACATGACAATCTTGTCTTCTCTAGGCTTGATGCTCTGACTGAACCTTGAATGCTCTGGTCTCCAGGCATCTCCTGGTCACCTCCCTTCAGGACAAGCCCAACCCACCTATGTCCTTCCAAAAATATGCCACCCAGAACTGTTTCTGGAAACTTAGGCCACTTCACTAGACCTTCCACAAATTCCATCCAAGATGATATCAAACTAATAATGATACTATTTGGCTCAAAGTTGGGATTTGAACCCAGATTTATGATTATATGTCGGATCCTGTCCTGAACATCCTGAACATGCAAGTTACATATAATTTTTAGCCAAAAATTATTTTTTATTTTTTACTTTTCCAAAATTTAGTTATCCTGCATAAATTAGTAGGGGCAGCTAGATGGTACAATGTGTAGACTGCTAGGCTTAGACTCAGAAAGACTCATTTTTCTGAGTTCAAATCTGGCCTCAGACACTTATTAGCTGTGTGACTCTGGGCAAGTCACTTAACCCTGTTTGCCTCAGTTTCCTCATCTGTAAAATGGGCTGGAGAAGGAAATGGCAAACCATTCTAGTATCTTTGCCAAGAAAACCCTAAATGTGGCCATGAAGAGTGAGACACAGCTGAAAATGACTGAACAACAGCATGAATTAGTAGGCCACAAGGGCCTAAGCTCTAGTCCAGTGCTGCCATTAGAACTGACCCCAGGTATCAGACTAAAAGGCTCACTTCTATCTGTTGTCATATTCAAAGCTTAACGTCATTAATCACATAATTAAATTCATGTAATCCATACTTTTGTTCAGTCTTTCAGAGAGTCTCACTCTCTATGACCATAGCACATCTATACTTTTCGTAGGTTTTCTTCACAAAGATACTTGAGTGGTTTGTTATTTCCTTCTCCAGTGGATTAAGGCAAAAAGAGATTAAGTGACTTGCCCAGGGTCACATAGCTTGTAAGTGTCTGAGGTTGGATTTGAATTCAGGTGTACCTGACTCCAGGCCTGTCACTCTATCCACGGAGCAATCTAGCTGCCTCAGTCTACATATAGGGACTTCCAATTTTTCACTAGTGGAAAAACTTAGAAATTCTCAGACCAGTGAAATTCTAAAGTTGCTTCCAGTTCTGACAGTCTAAATCCTAAAAGCCAACGAGAGGATTAGCAATCACTGGGTCTTGTTCCCTGGACAAATTTGGAGAGGAAAAACCCAGGATAGTGGTGCGGATGAAGGGTGGTGGGACAAGAAGGGTGACACCAAAATGATATCTGATCCCTTCCTAGATGTTTCATTCCTTACTAAGGAGACAAAGTGTCCTTGCTAGGATTGTCTATCTAAACAATTGTGCCCCGCAAAATATTTCATCAACAAATCCCCAAAACTATTCTAAAAAAAAAAATCAGTCAATATGCATCTTGGCAAGAAAAGAGGGTAATTAGATAAGATGACAGACCTGCTGAGAGAGAGTCTTCATGTGGGAAAGAGAGAGCCTAATGAAACACCATGTTCCCTATATTGGGAAATCCTTTCTAATCCCTGGCCTGGGGACATTGCAGAGATGACGCATGCATTGAACAAGGAAATTGGACTCGATGATCTCTGACATTCTGTGTTCTAAGTTCCCTTTCTAGCTCTGCCATTTTCTGTTCTAAGTTCTCTTCTAGCTCTAACATTCTACGTTCCAAGGTCCTTTTCCAGATCATGATTCTAAAGTCAAAACACCTCTGTTCTGGTTCTGGAAACAGCCACGCCAGGGACATCCCGCAGAGAGCAGCATACGCAAAACGGCTTGCTTCTTCCAGCTCCTTGCCTGTGGACAGATGTGGCTCTGCCGCCGTCGCCGGCTCAGGATGCTTCCCAGCCCCTTGGCTCTGCCCCTCTGGGGCCGCCATCCTCGAACCTGCCGTAAAAGAAACCCGATGCAGCACATGTTACCGAGAAGCACAGAAAATTCTTCGTATCAAGATTCCTTGAAACGAACAGAGCCCGGAGCAGAGGGTCTGGGTTCCTGTTCTGACTATGTGGCCTTTGCTCAGAGATATGTGGATAAAAAAGAAACAAAATATGTGAAAGGGATCTGAGTCCTCGCAGGGATGGGAGCCACATATGCACCTTATATAGAGTCTTGTATGTGTATGTGTATGTGTATATCTATATCTATATCTATATATATATACACATACACACACATATACATATATATACACGTATACACACACATAAATATACATACATACATACATACATATACACATACATACATACATACACACACACACACACATATATATATATATATATATATATATATATATATATGTAGTCATTTCAACAAACATGTATCAAGTGAGAGGCAGCAAGAGGTAGGAGGTAAAGGGCCAGCCTTGGAATCAGGAAGAAAAAGGATAAGGTGGCTTTTCTAACCTGTCCTCATTTTGTTATGTATCTTGACAGTCATAAGAAAACATTTGTTTGCTCTGGAAAACAATAAGCCATAGGACAATTATAATCTTCAGAGAGACAAAAATTATTCATAATACTTGAAAATCTGCAGGCCTGTTTCAATTATGTTGAACCTGTTTTCCAGACCCGAATGTTTCCAGATTGTGTGTGAAAGTGAATTTTTCCGTGTTGTGTATGTTCACCAGCGGCATTTACCACAAAATAAAGAAGCCTCCACAGGGAAAAAAAAGAACAATTTAAAAAAAAGAAAAATTATAAGGCACTGGGCTTACAAATATGACCAAAAAATGACAGTCCCTTACCTCAAAGAACTTACATACTACTTATTCTCTCCTAATAATAGTTCCTATTTCTATAGCCCTTTAAGGTTTATAAAACACTCTCCTCATAGCAATTTTGTGAAGTGGGAGATATTAAGTATTAAGGAGGCAGGACTTGTAGTCAGAGGTCTTGGGTTCAAATTCCAGCTCTGCTACTACCCATCTGGCCTTGGGTAAGTCATTTTGCTTCTCCGGGCCTTGCTTTCTTAGTAACAATAGTAAGTATTTATGTGACGATCCAGGTTTGCAAAATGCTTTACAAATGTTATCTCATTTTATCTGCACAACAACCCTGAGAGGTAGGTGCTGTTACCGTCCACATTTTACAGATGAGGAAACTGAGGCAGAGAATGGTTAATTTACCCAGGATCACATATTTAAGCAAGGGTCTATGGCTGGATTTGAATTCAGGTCTTCCTGACTCCACGTCCAGCACTCTATCCAGTGAGCTGCCTGATACCATCTGTAAAATGAAGAGGTTGGACTGAATGAACTTGAAGGTCCTTTCAGCTCTAGAATTATGACTCCCCTTTTGCACGGGAAGAAACAGACCCAGAATTGTTAAATGACTTGTCCAAGGCGACAGAAGTCAGGAGGGAGTGGGGAAACACTAAGGCTAAGGCAGCATTCCCTTCCCCTCTCATGCTCTACCCTCTGCCCAAATTCACCTGTTTACCTGGTATTTATTCACTGCATGTAGATTTTGAGTCGACTTAGATTATACTCCATTGTCTCCCTCATTATAACAGCAAGGTCACTGAGAGCAGGGATTGTTGATTCTTTATATTTGGTCTAGCACCTAGCACAACGCCCAGCGCACAACAGGTGCTTAAGATAACACTTGTTGACTGACTGATTGAAACCATTCCCTTTGCCCTGGGAAGCAGTGAGGAACAAAGCTTGAGAGGAAGATCAGGGCGTGACTGTACAGGGCCTGGAGTGCCAAGTGGAGAATTCTGCACAGGAGTCTGCAAACAGGTCCTGGACTTCACTGATGGAGCTCAAATGAATCTTGTCCACACGGACGGAGCACACAGTCTGTGCACAGTACACCCACTAGCTGCTGGAGTTGCCTTACTTTAGGCTTTGACTGTGTAATAAGCTTCTCTCTTAATTTCTCTGGACCTCAGTTTTTTCATCTGAAAAATGAGATTGGATTAGAGGGTCTCTAAGATGCCTCCCAGCTCTGACATTCTGTGTTCTAAGGCTCCTCCCAGCTCTGA